CCCCCCCCCCCCCCCCCCCCCCCCCTGCCGTCTACACAACTTCCCATGACTGGTGATCGAACTGCTCAAAACTGCCTCAGGTAGTTGCCGCCTACACAACTTCCCAGTCTCTCGGTTTGCAGAACTGGGCTTGGGAGCTTAGGCGCCCAGTGGTTGGCTCAGGTTGCCAGGCTGACACCAGTGCCTAGGCGCTAGTCTCCTGCATACTCGTTTGCTCCAATTCTCTTTCACATGCTCCAATTCTCTTTCACTTTGCTCTACTTTCAAAACCTGTTGTACCTGCAAGAAAAACGTGAAAATATATTTTGTTAAAGTACAATTTTATCCATAAAAATGTGTAAAATATAAAGGAATTTAAGCATTCTTTTCTACGCATCATATAGTCTATGTATAGATTTGAACTTGGAATTGTGGTTGGTTTTCATAGTTGTAAAAGTTGTTGGCTAGCTCTTTGGGCTTGGGCAATTATTTGACTTGAGCTAGCTTGACGAGTTTCTTGGTCTGGTGAATTCTTCATTGAGTTTAGTGGATATTTTCTTATTCTTAACTGATGAGTGTGTCTCAATCCTGGAGGGTGAGTACCTTGAACTCAAGTTGACTAGCGATTGCGAGCGCTCTCTTCTGGGAATCTCGTTGGCGAATGCGCTTTGAACCAGCTTGGCTTGTTTTTCTTAAACTCTTCTTGGCAAGCTCGTTCCTGGCCTCTATTATATCCTTTACTTGAGCGATTATACCCTTTTGGTATACAGTTTCCACTTCTTATAAAATTGTACAAGAGTTCCTTATACGAAGATAGAACAAAAGCAACGCCCTCATTTATTGCTTAGCTCACTTTTGAATTCTAGATAACCATTAGTTTTCTCATTACTCTTAGTTTACCTCATTTAATAATTAGTAATGCAACTTATTAGGTGCATTCTCTTATTAATGATTATAGCCTGAATCAGCTAAGTGAAACTCCAAATGATGTTGGTCCGTATAAGGAAATGAAGATATCAAATGAGACGAACAAATGCTTGAAGGAAATTTTTTTCAAAATTTGAAGCTAGATTAATGGTCAATTTGAAATTTTCTAACATATTTTGATTTAGTGGTGCTTTTACTAATCATGATTCTCAAAACTGCCTCAGGCAGTTGCCGTCTACACAACTTCCCAGTCTCTCGGTTTGCAGAACTGGGCTTGGGAGCTTAGGCCCCCAGTGGTTGGCTCAGGTTGCCAGGCTGACACTAGTGCCTCGGCGCTAGTCTCTTGCATACTCCTTTGCTCCAATTCTCTTTCACTTTGCTCTACTTTCAAAACCTGTTGTACCTGCAAGAAAAACGTGAAAATATCTTTTTTTAAAGTACAATTTTATCCACAAAAATGTGTAAAATATAAAGGAATTTAAGCATTCTTTTCTACGCATCATATAGTCTATGTATAGATTTGAACTTGGAATTGTGGTTGGTTTTCATAGTTGTAAAAGTTGTTGGCTAGCTCTTTGGGCTTGGGCAATTATTTGACTTGAGCTAGCTTGACGAGTTTCTTGGTCTGGTGAATTCTTCATTGAGTTTAGTGGATATTTTCTTATTCTTAACTGATGAGTGTGTCTCAATCCTGGAGGGTGAGTACCTTGAACTCAAGTTGACTAGCGATTGCGAGCGCTCTCTTCTGGGAATCTCGTTGGCGAATGCGCTTTGAACCAGCTTGGCTTGTTTTTCTTAAACTCTTCTTGGCAAGCTCGTTCCTGGCCTCTATTATATCCTTTACTTGAGCGATTATACCCTTTTGGTATACAGTTTCCACTTCTTATAAAATTGTACAAGAGTTCCTTATACGAAGATAGAACAAAAGCAACGCCCTCATTTATTGCTTAGCTCACTTTTGAATTCTAGATAACCATTAGTTTTCTCATTACTCTTAGTTTACCTCATTTAATAATTAGTAATGCAACTTATTAGGTGCATTCTCTTATTAATGATTATAGCCTGAATCAGCTAAGTGAAACTCCAAATGATGTTGGTCCATATAAGGAAATGAAGATATCAAATGAGACGAACAAATGCTTGAAGGAAATTTTTTTCAAATTTTGAAGCTAGATTAATGGTCAATTTGAAATTTTCTAACATATTTTGATTTAGTGGTGCTTTTACTAATCATGATTCCATAACTTTTAATGACACTGGATAAAAATTTTAGTGAACATTTATGGAGCTCATTCCTCATGGCGATAAAAGTTAAGTTCTAAATTATTGGCTCAATCATATTTCTCCTCTTTGCGAAGAAAATTTGACTACATATTCTTTTATCAATTTACTTGAGAAGAACTGGATCACTCCTCATTCGGGAGAAGATTTATTAATTGTGTATATTAATCATCATGTTATGTATAGGAAGACTTAGAGTATACTCTATTGGAGACTAAGTTATGACATATTGATAGAGATACTATGGATGATATTGAGATATTTGACATTACTAATTTCTCTCTTGAAGAGCCTTTTTTTCTTGGTAAAGGTGAATGTTTCATTAAAGCTGGCACTAGTCCTTGTGCTAATGATGACCATAGCATAGAGCATGTTTACTGACTAGACCTCACTAAAAATGAGGTCAACAATGATGACCATAGCATAGAGCATGTTTACTTTAATAAATGATGCTCAGGCAGGATGACAATGATAATTAACATTTTTTTAGATTTTTTTGATATTTTGAAGTTAATAATTTTGATATGGACAAAACATATGACAACTAATATGTATTATTAATTACTCAACCAAAAAGTTCGTTTTTTTAATTTTTAAATTTGTTTTTCTTTTATCAATATAATATTTTCTTGATAATATTATACTTCATTCAGTGTTATCTTTAGTAGAGAATGGTAAAATTAGGTAAAAACGTCTCCATGGAGGATCATGCCCTATTTTTTATAGTTATGTTATATTGCCATGTTTGTGTCGTGTAGTGTACATATGAGTGTGCTCATGTTTCATAGAGATTTAGACATCTATTTGTAAGCCATGTTTAACGGAAAAATGTACAAGTTTTTTGAAATGATTTGAAAATGTACATCACTGCACCAAATTTATTTCCTTTCTTGATAGAAATAATTTAGTTAGGCTAGGAGTGCATGTTCCTTTCATTGAAGTTTGAATGATGAGTATGACATGGTACTATCATATAAATCATGTGCATGATTTCATAGTCGACTTCATCATCTCTACACTTTACTATTTTGAATGCAGAGTTTACATCTAAATCTGGAGAGAAGACTTGGAAACCAACCTTCCTTCCAAAACATGACTTCTAGTTTTAGTTCTGCTAAATCAACTCTTTCAAATGAAAGCTCAGCTCCCATGGTAATTCATACTTAATATTTTGCAAAAATTCTTCCAGATCCAACATTATTTTTTTCCTTCTTTCCAAATGTTGTTATTCTGATATTTCATATAAAGAGAAGGCTGGCTTCTTTTATGTCCTCGACAATTCCCTTGACAATGTTATTTCTTTTGTATTAATGGGTAGGGTTAGGTCTCTTCTTCATGTATGACAAATTATGAAATATTTATGTTGAGATTTGTATCTAGTTTAGGGCTCTTTTTGTAAATAGGAAAGATAGAATAAGTCTAGGGATTTATTTGTAAAGAAAGTTGTAAGACTCTATATAAGCCGAAGTTATTAATAAATAGAAAAAAAATTTCAGAGCAAATTTATTTCTTTATGGTATTAGAGCCCTAAACCTAGACGTCTTCTACAGTGTTGCTCGATCCAATGAGACAGGATCGCAACGTGAACCCTTGGGATATAGTCATGATTAGAGCTAATAGAGGATGCTTCAGCTTCAAGTGTAGGGAGGGGGGAGCAACTTTGGTGGTCTTCGTACGTAGCAGTCACGTAGCTAGCTTCTCAACGGGCTCTAGCCCCAACTAGATCGCAGGTGAGACGACGTGGAATCGTGGCACAGGGAGGTAGGCCTGGTGTGGTCTTGTGTGTGACTTGGGAGTGAGGAAGGAAATAGAGCATGACCTTTATTTCTGGAGTTGCACTCGATAACAGGGAGCGAAGGATCGAAGCAGTTGCGATTTTGTGTAGGACGGAGGGGTTGCAACTTTGTGCAGGTTGCAGCAAAGCGGATCACATGAATTTGCAAGAAGTCATGTGTGATCTAGAGTTGGATCCTTGTGATTGAGGATGTTAGGCGACAGAGATAATGCGGTAGATAAATGATTGGAATTTTTTGGGAAGATTGATCTTAAAGTTCTGAAGGTCTTGGTTAGGCTCATACATGGAGCTAAGATCTTGGCAGGAGTCACCACCTCAACACGTGCTCCGACGTAGGTGAAGATAGATCTCTCTTATGGATCTTAAGCTCAATGAACCCACCAAACATCTGAGTTGGTTGCGTCGGATCGACACTGCTCTATTATGGAAGTGACTAATGGGATACGTGACGGGCATCGAGCCAAAGAGTGATAGTACCGAGGGGGTGAGTAGAGGATCACACACACATTGCTTTACACCTGACTCCTCAACTCAATGGTTTCATTGATTGTCTCATCCGTAGATGAAATTCTAATGGTGAGAGACATTTGAGCAAAGCTAAAGAGAATTTATACTTGGGTTGAGAACTACGTGAGGTTGTCCCTGATTCAGCATGAGATAGAGGCAGTGATACAAGGTGATATATTGATTCAGAAGTACTTCATAGATTTAGAGTGACTGTGGACACAACTTGATCACTTTTCACCGATGTCGAGTTGTGATGATCAAAGGTGTAAGAAGGGAGAGATTTTTGCACAGATGAGGACTATAAAATTTCTAGCTCATTTGAATATGATGTTTGATCCGAGGAGATTAGTCCTCCAAGCCCAAGCGATGATCCCTTCACTAGATAAGGCCATAGTGTGATGATATAGCAAGAGTTGTATGAGGCTACACTCTAAGTCGAGTGAACTTCTAGGTACACGATCATATTTGACTGTCTTAAACTCAGGTATGACAGGTGTCCAGGAGGAGATTTGCAATTGCTACAACGGTGGTGAAGTAGGCCAGAGAGATAGAGAGAGCAGAAGGGAGAGATCAAGAGCAATAGAGGAGAGAGAGAGAGAGAGAGAAAGAGAGTGAGAGGTGTGGATAGTTTGGTGGCCGTGACAATAGTCATGGTGGTTGAAAAGAGGGAAGAGGAAGCTATCAAGTAAATCTGATGGTAGCAGAGGACGAGGGATAGACAGGTGTGGTCTTTATCGATAAAAATAATGAGATTCTAGAGAAGTTGAGGTGAAAACAAAAATCAGAAAGAAGCGGGTGATGGGGCCAAGAAGTCATCCACCTCGTCATCATCAAGAAGTAACAACGATACTTATGCTCAATCTGATAAAGGTACTTGTGATACATATGCTCTTGCTGCTATTTCCACCATAAGATCTTCATAATGGATAGTAGTTTCTGGTGCATCTCGACTTGTGGGAGGTACTACTAGAGAGTTTTTTTCCTATACTCACCTAGAAGTTTTAGAGAGCATCCAGACTGTTGATGGTACAACACAATTTGTAGTTGATAAGGGTATAGTGAGGTGTGTCGATTCTATAAGTTTGCCTAATGTTTTGCATGCTCATTCCTTTTTAGTGAGCTTTATCCATTACTGTCATTATTTTCCAACTAAAATGTGTTGTTTTATTTAATATTCCTATGGTGATCTTTCAAGAGAAAGAGACGAGCCGGATACTTAGGACTGAAATGTGGCTTAGTGGACTTTGGTACTTGGATAGAAAGGGGATGTTCTTAGCTTTAACATCTATGGTGGAGAGTACTGGAGTTGAAAGATCTAGGAGGAGTTTGGAGGATGTGTTGCCGCTAATCACAAATGCATGAAACACTCTTGTTTTAGTTTACCGAGTCATTTATTTCAGCCGTTGTATGAAAAGACAAAAAAAAAACTTGTATGTGATGCTTTTGAGTTTGGCAAGCTTAGTAGGAGCTCTTATATCAGTTATGGGAATATGAGCTCTTTTATTTTTGATTTGATACATTATGATGTTTGGGAACCTTCTTTTACGAGTTCAATGAATGATTATAAATATTCTATGATTTTTATTGATTATTTTTCTCATGTTTCTTGGTTATATTTGATAAAAAATAAGGGTGATGTGTTTGCTTGCTTTAAAGATTTTCATAAGGCAACTCTGAAGGTATTGATGTTTGATAATGTGACAGTATACCAACAAGGAATTTGGAGAATACTTGTCAACCTAAGGGATACAACATTAAACTGCATGTTCATACACTCCGACACAAAATAGAGTAGTAGAAAGGAAGAATAGACACCTTCTAGAGGTAACTCTAAGTATGATGATCACAATGAATGCCCCAAAGCAATTATGGGGCAAGCTATTTTAATAACTGCTTAATTGATCAACAGGGTTTCCTTAAGAGTATTGGATTGAAAGTCTCATTGTTAGATGTTGAAAGGAGATAATAGTAAGATCCTCCCATTAAAGGTATTTGGTTGTGTATGTTTTGTAAATAACAGCAAACCATTAGTAGGAAAGCTGGATCCTAGAGCTTTGAAGCGTGTTTTCGTTGATTATTCGACTATCAAGAAGGAGTTGTTGGATTCAAATAGAGAAGAGACTGTTTGTAAGCATGAATGTGTCCTCTAGAGTACTTGAACCGTACTGCACCCTGGAGATAACCTCACCCTTTCGTGATATGCCAAATACTGGAGGTATGAGGCGAGAGGGGATAGTAGTGATGATGAAAGATTGGTACATGTGGGAACAATGCCTTGTTCCATTGTGTGGGAAAGATCAGTTGAGAAAGAGCAGAAAAAGGAGGAGAATGGGCCAAAGGTGGTGAGATTCAAACTCAAGGGGAGCTAAGAGTGTATACAAGGAGGAGAAAGATTGAGGGAGCGTACCAGCCATGCCACTCGTGCCATCAAGTCCTTTGTCCTGGTCTATCTCGACTACTGAGACACCTACACCATCCACCAATGAATCTGATTACTAGGCGATATGATTCTTCTCCCTTCTCCTCCCACCCCATGATTTTAATTAGGATCTCTCACAGCAATGCATGCCATTCTCCTGATCATTATTCTCTTTATTGTTTTATTTTCTCACATGACATTGCTCAGTTTGTCTCATACTCAAACATATCACCTGTACACAAAGCATTAAATATATCTTTGTTGGCAGGTAGCTTAGGAGGATTCAAAGTGGAAGGCTACCATGCTAGAGTTCCTTGTTGCTCTCTATAAGAATAGGACGTAGGAGCTCACGTAATATTATTAAGAAAATGCAGTCGTATTTAAAGAGTCTTCATATTGAAGGAAAAATTGATCTACAAAGCACGATTGATGGAGAAAGGGAATAATCAGACGTATGAAATTGTTATGATGAGACATTTGCACCAGTGGCAAAGACGAGCACTGTCATAATACACATCTCCGACCGTGAATTATGGATGAAGGTTACACCAACTGGATGTGAAGAATGTGTTTCTTCATGGAGATCCGCTAAATGAGATGTACATGGAGATACAACCAGGCTTCAGCACAAACCAAACAGTGGGAAAGGTATGTAGACTAGGAAGTCACTATAAGATTTGAAATAGTCTCCTCGAGCTTGGTTTGAAAGGTTCAGGAGAGCAATTGTTGATATGGGCTATCAACAGATCAATGTCGACTACAAAGTATTTTTTGTACTACATGGTGGTCACATTATTATACTTTCCATACATGTGGATGATATGATTGTCATTGGTGATGATGAGGGAGAGATTGCTCGGTTAAAGACAATATTAGGCAAAAAGTTTGAGATGGACCTGGGACAACTTTGATATCTCCTTGGGATTAAGGTGCACCGTGGAGTGGAGGGGATTGTTCTATCTCAGAGGAAGTATGTACTAGACTTACTTACAGAGACAAACTTGTTGGGATGCAAGCCTGCACTTTCACTAATTGATCAGAAGAGAAAATCAAGCACAAAGGTAGGAGAGTCAGTTGATTGTGAGAGATGCCAAAGATTATTAGGCCATCTCATTTATTAGAGTCACGCTCGTCCTGACATATCTTTTGCTATAAGCATGGTGAGTTGTTACGTGCATAATCTGAGGAAGGGTCATATAGATGCAGTGTATTGGATTCTGAGGTAAGTGAAGAGTGCACCAGGGAAGGGATTGATTTTCAGGAAGAATAGACATGTAGGCATTGAGGGCAATTGTGACTCTGATTGGGAGAGTTGTGCTGATTATGGGAGGTTCCCATTAGGATACTGCATGTTCGTAGGGAGCAGCTTGGTCTCTTGGAAGAGCAAAAAGCAGTCTGTAGTAGCGAGGTCAATAGTACAGGCAAAGTACAGAGCTATGACCTTAAGAGCTGCTGAGATGATTGTGGTTGAGAACCTTGTTGGTAGAACTCAAGGTGGACTAAGAAGCTTAAATAAAGTTGTGATATGACAACAAGCCATCAATCAACATTGTCAACAATCTGGTGTAACACAATATAACCAAACATGTGGATATTGATAGGTTCTTCATAAAAAAAAACTGAATAACAAACTACTTGAGCTAAGTCATGTAGCCACTGGAGAGCAAGTGGTTGATTGCCTCACCAAAGGACTTAGCTCATTAGATTTGTGAGGTTATGTGACAAGGTGGGCTTATTGGGTTGAGATTTGTATCTAGTTTAGGGTCCTAATTGTAAATAGGAAAGATAGAAGAAGTCTAGGGATTTATTTGTAAAGAATGTTGTAAGGCTCTATATAAGCCCAAGTCATTAATGAACAGAAAAAACTCAAAATGTTTTTTAGAGCAAATTTATTTCTTTAATTTCTTTATGAATGAAAATATGAAATATGATATCAGGGAGCATAAACTAGAGGATGATTGAAGTTGCATCTGATAAAACAGTAGTTAAACTTATTTTCAACACTAACAATTAGCCCATAAATTATTGTCAAGCACTCAAATTTCCACGGCAGCCTAATTTTTACCCATCTGACTCTAACTTTTATGTCCTTAACTGATTGATGATCATTATTCAGTAAATGCAACTTGGTAGCTCATGTCATGATTGATCACTATATTTCAGGATTTGTGAATTTGTAGTTTATTTTGCAGACTGCTACAGAGCTTGTGAATGAGATTACAACACTTGAGCTGGAAATTGTTCATTTGGAGCAGCATCTCCTGTCACTATATCGGACGGCTTTTGATTATTATAAGAACGATGACTTGAATATCTCCAGTGACGACTCTAGGCATACTTCAGGTGGAATGCTTACACGAAAGCGCACAAAGCAAACGGTAAATCATGGAAAAATTGGGCTTAAATCAGATCGTTCTATTGGAGAAACCAATTATAGTTTCAAGAGCACTGAACAGGACATAGCCATGAAACCATGGCTTAATGAAATTTATTGTGCCCACAATCTTAAATGCGATTCAAATAATATTGCCGGTCATTTTCTAAGTCATAATCCACAGAAGGTATGATTCCTTGTCCTACAAGAGTACTAAAAGTAAATATATCTTTTGAAATTGTGCCGAAATAAAACTAATTATGTAGTACGATAGATATCGTATAGGACGGTATTAGATCAAGTTTATATAACTAATTGATCTTTCGATCGTAACAATATTACTTAAATTTAACTTAAATTTATTTTGGATTAGAATCTCATTGTATTTATGATCCATGATCTTGGTATACAATCAATTATGGTTAGTTTTTATTGTTTCTTATATTGATGTTATTCATGCTCAACTCTCCCTTTGTGTGTGCGTGTGATTCCCATCTTGGCAAAATTATCGCATTAAAATATAATAATAAGAGTCATGAAAATTAAAGTAGGTCCTTTTTTGGATCTTGAAATTGTGGCTTTGAAATCTCATGGGCTAGCTCGAATTGCTCAAACCAAAAGCTAGTTTTAATTTCTCATACCATGGGCCATCATAAACTAATATAACTATGGGCTTTCTTATATGATCTTATCACATAAAATGTTCATCTAATTTTGTACCTAAATTATTATTAATATATTTTGCACAAAATTTATTTAAAAATTTTTAGTTCATACTAAATCAAGTGATCATCAACTTCTTGAGCTATTGAATCAGCATGTTACGTCTTCTTGGTAACTTCTATATAACTTTTATAGTATAATTAACGGTAAAATGCTTGGTTACTGATATGCTCAGTTAATTCATTAGAGTTACTTGTCAGCATCGATTATAATCACGAAACTGATTTCATTTAATTTTGTACATGTTCTAATTTAATTTAAGGGCATTTACATACATAGCACCAAATTATTACGTTGTTAGTTAGTGTCGCATGTGAAGTCCTGATAAAGACAACCATGTTTCTCTTTTCTTTTTGATGTTGGGGTTTGTAAGGTACATCTGGATAGCCTTTTTTGGTGATATTAATATGTAACAAACTCGAGCTTTGTACTAATTGAGCTACAGGCAACCAAGAACCTTTGTTATATAAGGTTTGTTGTCATCTTGTTGTGACAAGTTCGGGTGAGATTGGTGTACTTAAGTCATTGAGACATTGGGCCCACACAAAATTGTAATTGAATATTGCTTTTGTCATTTTAAACTTGTGTTATGACTAATAAATTGTCGTTTGAATCATTAAGAGAAGATTACCTATAGGATTTTAGGGACATCCCAACGATTACTTTCCCAATGCGGACTTCAGCCTTCTCTACTGACATCACGTCAACCACATAACTACAGAAGATAATTTTTCTGGTGCCTACAGAGAATCACAGAGAAGTGTGACTTCTTCTGATGAGCAAGCAGTCTGACAGATTTCACTGCGAACAGTGGTCGAGAATAGATGGTATCCTTGGAGGACGGCGTAGCTTGTGTCATGTGTCATATATATTTTAAAACTCATATTATCACATTTTAAAATGTAATTTTAATAACTTTTTTCTTATTTTTTAGCAATCTTGATATTCATTGTTAAGTGGGGTTTATATTTTATGTTTTTTTACTATTCTAAGTAATTTCTTATTTCTCAAATATCAAATATATTATTATGACAGTTCTATCGCAAACAACATTATTACACATGATCAGAATAGACATTTGTCCAAAATCAACTGTAATTGAATTATTTTCTATCAAGACAAACCAAATAACAAATTTGAATTATCTGCTACTTTACAACTTATTCGTGACAGCTGCTTATCAGAAGCTTATAATCAAACTGCGATCGACCCAAACACTTAATCACCTTTGAGAAAAATTCATTCTAAATATACTCGTTAAAATATGCGTGGCTGAATTGCCACCTCAGACCGAACATGCTATGGACCAGAAATAATTTTGTCGTTACATATGAATTATAAGCACTAACAATTAATTATTAGTGACAGGTGGCAAGCACGAAACCTAAATAGTGGGTTAAGTGGTACTATAATAAATGCCACCATTAATGTCCAGCACCGTCTTGCTATTTTTCCAACCAATTGAGAGGAGGAAAATGTCGTTTAATTTATACATTCGTTCGAAATTCTTTTAAAATTTATTTTTAAATAATGTTTGTGGGTTTAAATAAAAGATGAAATAAATTTTCCATAAGAGAACAAATTAAAATGTCACATAATTAAAATTGAAATTGTGAATTTATAACTCTAAGGTGTTGTATGAGATGTAAGTTATTAAAATTTAGTAAATCCCATAAAGTAGGATTTAAAAATTTTGAAAGGGTCAAACTGAAAATCTGTGCAATTTCGGCAAATATTTAGGAAAGTGTTGAAATAAAATCTCGTATCACAAAAAATTGAATTCACCAATTCGTAAAATTTAAAATATATGGATATACATTTGAAATTGGAAGAATCGGAAATTACAGCGTCCCGAAATTGTAACATCAAACCGGTCCGACATGATTTAACTTAAATAGGGAACTCAGAAGACTACATCCTGTGGTCCAGGTATGATTCTTCTTTCAGATACATGATACATAAAGAACTAGCAATGCAATAAGTCCATTTCTCATGCTGCCTCTATCTAAAGAGATTGTACAGATGGGACATATATATTGTCCCATATGGAAAATCAAATTTGTAGTAATTCTTATCACTATTTTTCTATTATTTTACATGTGAGTAGTGAGATCTGTACATGATGTAAGCAAGGAGTCATTAACGGCTTTTGATAAATAATGAAAATATGTATATAATTCAATTAATGTCAGCTTTTTTGGTTTGTTTATTAGTTATATGCTTTGCATTAGTTATTAGTTGAGGAACAAACCAAAAGGTCAATGGTGCCTTCCATCATGTGACATCTAATATTAATAGAAAAAATATCTTTGGGAGTAAAGGCTGATGTGACAAACATAAAAGAAAAACCTATAGAGAAAGAAATATCATGAATTATATAGTTATGCTTGAATAAAATCTATGTTTTTAAGGGATGAGAGAGGATTTGACTCTTACCAAAAGGTCAATGGTGCCTTCCATCATGTGACATTTAATAAAAATAGAAAAAGTATCTTTGGGAGTAAAGGCTGATGTGAAATAAAAATAAAAGAAAAGCATGTAGAGAAAGAAACATCATGAATTATATAATTATGCTTGAATAAAATTTATGTTTTTAAGGGATGAGAGAGGATTTGACTCAATTTGGCACAACCCACAAAATAGTGTAAAAATAATAGTACTTCTAATTTTCAAAAGTCAAGCATACATATCCTCAGTTAGAGAAGCTCAAACAAAATTCTCACAATAGGTTTACCTCACAATATGAGCTTGCATGCATGCTAAAATTTTAAGCCTAGAAGGGTGCATGGTATGGAAGTTGCCAATCAACCGAGCATACATATCCTCAGTTAGAGAAGCTCAAACAAATTTCTCACAATAGGTTTACCTCAATATGAGCTTGCATGTATGCTAACATTTTAAGTTGAGAAGGATGCATGGTATGGAAGTTGGCAATCAACCAAAGGTTTTTGTAAGGCATGTAAGACTTTAGGTTGAGCCTCAAATAAGATGGTTAAGAAATAAATTAGTATAAAATTAGTGAATTGTTAGCCTTTACCCATATGCATAATACTTGCTGCTAAAAAAGTTTTGATCATTAGTTTTTCTAGCTTAATTTTGATCCATATGCTTTTACTATTTAATCATAGTAAATATATTGACTTCTCTATTTTTGTAAGTCTTTAGTAGTCATTCTATAAGAAATTTTCATCACAGACATCATTTGTAGTTGAACCTCAGTTGTAAACTCTACACTCTGTCAATTGTGGCAAACTAGAAGGTTCTTCAAGGGAACATTAACAAATTCATTCACTATTGGAATACTGTGCATCTTTCATTAGTTCTGGTTTGGCTAAGAAAATTAAGTCATCGGCTTTTAAACACAGTTCCACATTAATTAAATTGATTAGTGATATTATCACTTCTTCCATACCCAAGAAGTAAAATGGCTTATCATTTTGCAAATTAAATTTTACTCTTTTTCTCAACATTCAATTGTGGCATAATATTTTACCAACCAATTCATTCCTAAAATCATTTCAAAATCAGTTAAAGGTAGCATGATCAAGTTAGATCCAAAAGTTCTACTAGCTATCACAACCTCAATAGAATATGAAGTACTAGCTAACATATAATCCACTAGAAGGCGACAATGTTGACAACAAGGATAAAATAAATAAGACTCAAATGTTATTTATTGCAAAACCACTCAGAAATAAATAAAGTTGATGCACCAAATCAAAAAGTATTTTAGTTGAGATGTTAAAGTAAAACATTGTGTTAGTATTATTCTTATATTGCCTCAAAATGGTTCACATGTTTCCTTTAATGATGATTTATTCAAAATGTACCATCCACTCCAAACTTACTCTAATTTTTAAACTCTTCTTTGTGTTTTATCACCATGTATAATCATACAAAATTTTATTTATATGGCTTTGCTCCTCACATAGATAACTCCTAAATTTAAACAAAAGTTTCTTAAAATATGTCTTCTCATAGTGATACAATCATGTATCAAGTGTTGAACCCTCTGTTAAAGTAGTTGATGCGGCCTTTGAATAAACTTTTAACTTTTAAATAGATCACTTTTAATGTTTAATGGTCTATTTTTATTACTAGCCTTTTATTTCTACCTCACCATCTACATATCCTACTCTATAAGTATTTACACTTTTCACATTCTCCCCAAAATCTTAGACACATAGAAGAATCAAAGGATATCTCAAATGAATTTTCATTTCTCTAAAAAATTTTAATCTTTTGATTAGCCATACCGATAAGCTATAGAGTGTATCTCGATAAGAAGGTAAAGTCCATTTCATACTAGATAACAATATTTGTCCCTTAATTTAGGCTTATAAAATTTTCTTACATTACTCACCATGCTGAAGATGGGACAAACAAATCTCTAAACACTTGCTCAAACTCCTTCTAAGCAAGCTACTCCTTAGGTATGCTCATAAAGTTATTAGGTTCTGCTCCTCCACTAATGCTCTGCCTCACTTTCCATTATAAATTCTACATGAGAAATTGTTTATCACTCTGGTCTTTCATTTTATTTAAGATTTTCTCAATTCTA